TTGAAGTCGGCGTACAAGCAGTTTGGAGTAGACCAGTGGCATGCCGACAGGCTCAAGATTGCTGTCAAGCGTCCTGGTGGAGGGGTTGGCATCTTTGCCGCATTGGCGCTGCCGTTTGGTGCCTCGGGTTCGGTGAGTTCATTCTTGCGTGTGGCAGCCAGCCTCACTTACATAGGAATAGTTGCTCTTCAAATCTTGTGGACAAGTTTTTTCGACGATTACACTTGTGTTTGTGTGGACGGAGAAGAGACCAACGTGTCTTTCTATGTCGAATCCCTCTTCCGCATGTTAGGGGTGTGGTTTGCAGAAACAGGCTCAAAGGCGACTTCCTTTGGGCCCTCCTTCAAGTCGCTTGGTGTAGTCTTTGATGTTGGTGCCATACATGACGGCACGTTCGCTTTGCAACATACTGAGAGCAGGAAGTCCGAGCTGGTGCAAATTCTTGACAGTTTGATAAGCGCGCAAAGGTCGACGCCCAAAGAACTTGAGAGACTCCACGGCCGGTTAATTTGGTTCAGTGCGTTTGTCTTTGGCAGGATGATGAATCAGCTTGTGAAAACTATCTCCCTTGAGTCCTTGCAACGAAAGAAGGTGATTCACTTCACTTCAGAATTTCTCCAGACCTTGACAGACTTGAAACATGCGATAGGGTCCTCGAAGCCAGTCGTGATCTCAAAGACACTTTGTACAACTTGGTACGTCTTTACTGACGGTGCATATGAACCTGATTCAGACATTCTTGCCAGTATAGGTGCAGTCTTGATTTCACCGACGGGCACTCCAGTTCAGTGTTTTGGCGAAGCTGTTCCCAGAACTTTGGTGGACGAGCTGTTGCAGCATTCTTCTCATCCTATCTACGAACTTGAGGTGCTTCCGGTCGTGATGGCCACGAGGCTTTGGATGAAATTTCTGATGGGATGCCCCACAGTATACTTTCTTGATAACGTTGCAGCCCGAGCAACGTACATCAAAGGTGTGGGCGCTACACCTTCCTCCATTATCATGCTCAAGGACTTTGTTCGGTTGGAGGCCAGGCTGAGAATTTACTCCTGGTTCGGTAGAGTGCCGAGTCATTCAAATGTGGCAGATTCTCCAAGCCGACTCGTCTTTGATGACCCAGTCCTGTCCGGCTGCCCTAGAATACGGATAGTGCTTCCAACTCACATTCATGAAATTGGGGATGGCTCAGGGTGAGTTGGAAAGCCATTCCAACCCAAACGAACCTGGTCGATCGTTCCCCACAGCATGGTGAAAAAAGAATGCGTTGTCCGAGTGAATCCAAGGGTCATCAGATGTTCATTGCGATTTCGAAGTTTTTCACACATGTCTGTTTTTTGGACGGCGCAACGTTTCGATGATTTTATTGGCGATACGGAAGTGGCGATGTGACGTTTGTTTTACGTTTTTTGTTTTCCTTTTTCTCCCAACGCAGTGGTGTTGATCAAGGTCCTTCTTTATGTTGTGGGGTGCGTGGTGCGCGGCGCTTTCAACTGACCTGAAACAATAAGCCGGAACTCTTTGAAAAAGATGATGGCCTTATTGTGTAGGGTCTGTTAGTTCTAGCTGTGCAGACTTTTCTGCACGAGCGAGCGCCGCGTCTCCGTAATGTAATCGCAGTCCTCTCACTTTGCTGTCCTCGCGTCTCTGTCGCCAAAACACCAATTTGTTGTTTGATGTTTTTTCTACAAACCTCAAACAACCGTTTTTGAAACAAACACATTTGCAATGAATGTCTTTCAGTTGCTGTGATGTGTATCTGTTTTGATACAAACTGTGGTGCATGTTTTGTACCTGTTTGGTATCTTCAAATTTTTTAATACTGAATCCACATCAATTTATGTTGTGTCCGCAACATACTCTTTCAAGGTGTGGGAGGGTGGGACCTCAAATTTTTATGAGGAAACCAATTACCCACCCTTGTCTTCCCACCCGGTTTCCTCTGGTCTGTATGACCTTTTGTCTTTTTCGGTCCGTTTGACCACATTGTTTTTTGCCTCGAGTTGGAAAGCCATTCCAACCCAAACGAACCTGGTCGATCGTTCCCCACAGCATGGTGAAAAAAGAATGCGTTGTCCGAGTGAATCCAAGGGTCATCAGATGTTCATTGCGATTTCGAAGTTTTTCACACATGTCTGTTTTTTGGACGGCGCAACGTTTCGATGATTTTATTGGCGATACGGAAGTGGCGATGTGACGTTTGTTTTACGTTTTTTGTTTTCCTTTTTCTCCCAACGCAGTGGTGTTGATCAAGGTCCTTCTTTATGTTGTGGGGTGCGTGGTGCGCGGCGCTTTCAACTGACCTGAAACAATAAATTCACGGCTTTGCAAAGGCTCAAGAAGCTTGTAGGTTACCTGAAAGGGTCACCCGACTTTTGCGTTTTGCTGGACGTGCCCGTGGGTGGACAAGGACGTTGGCGTTCAACTGACAAGCATTTGATTTTGGAAAGCTTCAGCGACAGTGATTGGAGTTCGAATCAAGTGCACAGGCGGTCCACCAGTTGTGGAATACATTTACTCAACGGTGCATTCTTGTTTGGGTCGTCCAGGACACAACGCGTGGTCAGCCTCTCCAGTTGTGAGAGCGAGTTACATGCGATGATCAGCACTTTGAGCGATGGTATGTTTCTGAAGAGGTGCATTGAGTTCATTTTTGATGCTGAGGTGGAACATTGCATGTTTACAGACTCGTCATCAGGACGACAGCTGGCTCAGAGGCAGGGCACAGGAAAGGTCAAGCATTTATCGGGGAAAGTTTTGTGGATTCAATATGCAATCAGAAATGGATTGGTGGTTTTGTCACAGATCCCGACAGCTTGGAACGTGGCCGACATAGGAACGAAAGCATTGGGAGTGCAGCGAACTCAGCTCCTTTTGCATCAGCTGAATGTGGCTTCAAGTTCAGATTTTTGTGTAGTTGGTATTCCTGAGTATGAATCCCAGTGCCAATGCCATGGAGGTGAAAAGAAGATGAGTCATTTGGTGAAACAGGTCACCAGAATCTTGATGCTACTGGGCCTTGAGTCAGGTGGTGCCACGGCCTTATCAATTTCAGTGTTGGATGATGATGGTTTCAACGCTGGCGAGAAATGTTTGATTGAGCCCAATGACCAAGGAGGAGTTTCATTTGCAATGATGATGTTTTTATTCATGGTGTTGCTGGTGATTTTGGGTGCCTGGTACAGGCTTTACAGGAAAGTACAGGACGCCCTGAGTTCCTATGATCACTGCTACACACAGATGGCGATCCTGGATTCAGCGTACAATAGGGTTCAAGATTTGTATGAGGGTTTGCGTGAACAACATTTCACTGACATCAACATTTTGGACAATCTTGTGGATCGGCATGTGCAAGAGATTGGGGCCCTGCAGACACAGCTCGAAGCAACAAATGATGCGTTGCGACGCTTGCGTGAGGGCCATCTGGAATTGCAAGGAGAGACAGAGATGCTCTGTGATTCCTGTGAGCAGATCCATCATGGATTGGTTCAAATTGGTGGCTTCACCCCTTTCAATGACCTGAACCCCGATGACAGGCGCCGGATGTACGAGCTGGAAAGGGCCAATCTGGTGGCCAGAAGGGTGATGGGATCAGACAGATACCTCCATTTGATTCGACAACAAAATCAAGGTGTTGCACGTGGCGAGGACACAGATATGGCAGTAGGGTCTGAAGCTGGTGAGAGTGAAACAAGGGAAAATGACCCGCCAGTTGATCCCCCAGGAGTACTTACTCAGGTTACAGAAACTCTTCGGGTGGAACTCAACGAGTGCCTCTACCGCCATGACTATGCCACGGCAGCACAGTTCCAGAATTGCATCATGGCGATTTTGGATGCAACTCAGGGAGGCGTACCGATTGCAGTGGAGGTGCGCTCCAGTCTTTTCAATGGCCTTGGTTCTTCATTGGAGTCAATGGCCAATCGAGTTCGAAGAAATCTACCTGCAGTAGCAGCCAGGTATGACGATCTCAGTGGACAGATGCGCAATATGGCACAAGGTTGATGGAAGATGCATGTTTTCCTCAAAGAGAAGTTTTCAAAGTGCGATGTCTGAAATGCATTGGCGGTGGAAAACACTGACGGCAGTATGGCCATTACAGCCTTGCTCAAATGGCCAAGGAGGAGTACGAAGAATCTACAGTAGTGCTCATGTCTGTCAATATGGTGTTCATGGCCACTGCATGAAGGATGACACGCACAAACCGAGACAGTGCAAACAATAGGAACCAGTTCCATTTTCATGTGAAATCACATGAACGTTTCTGCACAGAACTCCTGTGTGACCGTGTGCAGGCCCTGGTTCAAAACAATAGTGTCCGAGCATTGCCGTTCTTTTCGCAGATTCGAAACTTTTGCATGGACAGAGAGTGCAATGTGCAGCGGTGGTGACAGAAAAGGTTTTGGAAGAGTGGACGTGGCAGTTGAAACTTGCCAATCCAAGGAGGAGTGCAAAACTTTTAGGTCAGTGTTTCTCTGTTCCATTTGCTCTGCATGACCACTGCACAAGGATGACACTCTGCACAAATCGAGAAGTGTGAACTCATGGGAATTTACAACGACAATCACGATAGGACATGTGAAATCACATGGATATTAGTGGCATGCACAAATCTGTGTATGACTGTTGAGGCCCAGGTTCAAAAAGACAGCTCGCCGTGCGCCGTTTTGTTTGCAAAATTCATTGGTTATATTGACTGCAGCATACTGCAGCGTCCTCAAATTAATTTTCAAATTGTTTTGGGGGGATGTTTGAGCGCCCCCCTACCGTAGGGGTGATGAAGGACATTATCGGATGTGAAATCAATGGACGGACAAAATCACAGTTTTTCTTTTCATTTGTTGTTCCACGTTTGAGCGAAAAACATGTTGCGGAATGTTGCGGAGACAATTCGGTTTCCTTGATGTGCCATGACAGCTTTGTAGGAATCGTTTTGTGTCATATGATTTTTTGTGAGGGCCCATTTCCGTTTTGGACATATTTGCAGTCGCACCTTTGGAGTCGGCTCTTGGAAATTTTAGCCGGACATTCAGAGTTTGGGAGTGCTTATTTCGAAAACCGGTACATGAGGAGGCGCGGTCGTAACAGCAAACGAGTTGTGATTCCAACGCTTTGTCAGCATTTAAATTCAATTTCGGAAAAATTGATGACCAGTGGGTCGATGTATGTTAAAAATGGATGTCCGAACATTGTGAATGCAAACACGACGCTGTTTTTTTTTGTGAACGCCCGTTCATTATGTCCATGTCATCAGAACATGCATTCGATCGGTTTGTTTTTCGCGGATTCAGAACCATGATTTTGAGTCGGGGAAATGATTCAGGCGCAGATCATGCCATCTTGCAAAAATCGGCAAGGCGAAACACCGAACCGTGGTCTTCTGAACACAATTTGCCATCAACGCCCATGTCATGTGATTCCATTTTTTGTCCGTCACATGACCTTGTGTGTGTGTAACAATTATATCAACTGCTTTCAATGGTTTGTGTACATGTTTTTTGTTTGCAAACATGATGAACATTTGCAATCATGTGAGGTGACGATTTTACTACAACTTTGTTTGTTGGCCTTGTCTGGGCCACAACACAAAGATGATTTGCGGACGATTTTCAACATTATACTTACTAGAGGCATTGATTTTTTTGCATTACAAACTGATGGAACAGGCATTCACAAGAGTTGCATTTGTCATGCATAGAATTGCATGTGCAAGACATCAGTTGCACAAACTTTGGGCACATTCATTTCCGAAAATTGACAATCGTTTCAGCGCGCGTGCGCCTTAATTGAACTGAGGTGTTCAATATATGAGGTGCCGTTGTGGGAAATGGTGATTGAAACCAACAAGGACCATGAAAAAAATCGAGTGTTTTTGTTTCAAAAATGGCATACTGCCAACAACAGTATCAATGAAACCTCCACATCACACTGACATTGTGATGAAATCCGTTCCATATTGCTAGTTTTTATGTCCAGGGGTATGCAACCGGTCCCATTTAACCATATGTGAAAACATATGCAGAAGGCAACGATTCCATTTGGCGGTCCTGCACATTCGCAATTTCATTTCAGTTTATTTGCGATTCTCGTCATGCATGATGCCCAAACTATTGGTTTACATGGGTATGTATGAAATATAATGAAACAAAATGTGGCAATTTTGCTTGGAAGGTTTCAATCACTGGTCCAATCAAAAACAAAAAAGTGGACCCTGGTGAAGAGGGCAATGCAGGTGTCAGTTTCCATTTGTCGAGGCTCCCGCACAGCTTTTCTTGAACAGAGGGAACAAACAGAAAGTGGCAGCCTGAGCAAATTTGCAATGAATTGGCCAAACTACTAATGCAAAACAATTATTTTTGTTCCCGATATATAAAATATAAATATTGCTTTTCAATTGTCACCATGACCATGGTCATTGGGAGTAGAGCAGAGCCATAGCTCGATTGTTTGATGTTAGTTCGTGAATTCATTGCATGAAATTTTCATGTCCTTCCCGTTGCAATCGAGTTGTTTTAATATTTCGGCGTTCATTGTGAAATATGTTTGTTTTTTGGTTGCCCGCATTTGTTGTATTCCCTCCGTTTGATTTTGGATTTTAAGTACTGGGAAAATTTGGGATATGCATGTATGTCTCTTTTTTTTGGAGTTCCTTCGGTTGTTTTCCTTGGTCATTTTGATTGTTGCAAAGTCTGCGGGTTGGGTTGTTTCAGTATCCAGCCGATGTTGTGTTTGTTCCGACATGTGGATTGGGATAGAACATTTTGATCATTTTAATTTGTGAATTCACGGCAAATGGTGAAACTACGAGATTGATGGAGTCAACAATAAATTCAGTGAATTGAATTTGTGCAGCCTTTGTGAAGGGTATTTTTGTGAGGTCCTACTTCAAGCCAGGGGTTATGAGCTGGTGATGTTCCCATCAAAGGGCAAGGTGCCCCGTCGGGTCATGACCCTGCAGGAGATGGATAAAGGTTCTGTGCTCACATTTGCAAAAACAAGGGGCAAATCCAAGGACTCCAGTTTTGAAATCCAAAAATGTGGAGTGGATAGTGGATACCTTTTCTTTGATTGGTATCGTCGGTATCGTTTTCATAATTCAAAAAGTAAATTTTGGATCTGTTTGCATCCACTTCGAAAAGGCAAACCCTGC